ACGAATAACGGCTGTTTTTATTTTTGGCCATACTACTACTACACGCAACACATGTTTTGATGTAAATAAACAATCTGTTGTATATGCCACTTGGAACTCAAGTTTCAATGGACATGCTCGCGACAACCCCTCCGCTTTAATAGGACGAGCACAAAGAGAACTTTCAAAAATTTAACAGGGACTGTGTCATTTTCAATGACTTGTATTATTTACTAATTTTTGGTAGATGAGTTTTTTTTATAGGCTTTCAGTGTTCAATAAATTATATATTTTTTAATCTCTTCAATCTATACCCCCAGTATGTTTAGTATACTAGATCTCTTTTTTTTCAGCATTCTTTGATTCCTTTTTTGTATGTCAGATGTGTTGGCATATACAAAGAAACTAAATCAATCATTTCAAAGTTGATAGCAAGCTTTTTATAACTCCAGTGTTTAAAAAAAGAATTAATATTTTTTTCTTACCTTTAAGATGCCCCTACCCCAATATCCTAATATAATGTACTATTATATTTATGTACTAGAACAGACAGTGTCCATTGGATAGAGATCAACTCGGACGAAGTACATGGTCTTTTCTACATACAACAGCCGCATATTATCCAGAACAACCCTCACAACAAGACCAACGTGATATGAAACAATTCATTTATTTATTCTCAAAATTTTTTCCCTGTGAACCTTGTGCTGTTGAACTAAGAGACAGGTAAGGATGAGTTGCTACACGCCGACTCGTGTATATTCTGTTGATGGCAGTATCACAACCATCCGTCTTCCAAGACATTCATGGCTGCTAACTTGGGAAGTATTTTAAAATACCATTGACACAACAAACCCATTCTCTTCATTTTTTATAAATATTTATAAATTTTTACAATTCAAACATTATGCACAGTGCCAAATATTTAGGGAATGGGTTTGTGTGTTGATAGTACCACTAAATTACAGTAGTAAAATAATCTTTTCAGTATACAGTATCTTTTCTTTGCATGGCAAACGAGTAAAAGTCTTGAAAAAACGTGTGAGGGCATTATAATTATGAAAATGGTTTATAATGATTAGGCACTGCAAAAGTGATTCTTAGACGTCAGCACATTGCTAGAATTTTGAGAAAACAAACATTTAATGTCTGATTGTCATATGTAATTCATGTTGTTTGTCCTGTTACATGAAATGAGGGAAATATATCTGTCCATATACCCAGTATGAGTGAGCTACAAAACTATGTCTATGAAGGAATTGCTCAGAAACCAGGCTAAATGTATGAAAATAAAACAATGATTAGATTGAAACTGCCACTATGTTGTTTCATAGTATATTGTTATGCTGTGTTAGAAACACAAGAAAAGAAAACTTCATTACAACTTGTATACTTGCACTATATACCGGTATATTCCAAAATATATAATGACTTTGTTTTGTAGGCCTCCCCTTCCGTGCTTTTGATTTCGATGTGAATTACTTTTTCACGGCCTTACAGTTGATAATATTTTGTTTTATTTTCAGACTTAAAACTGATGTTCCTGACACCAGCAGTCGTCACAACTTTTCACAATGGATGTGCAGACTTCATAACAGTGTTAGTAAAAGGATAGGAAAACCAGAGTTTGACTGTTCCAAAGTTGATGAAAGGTGGTTAGATGGCTGGAAAGACGGATCATGTGACTAAATACACACTCTAAATCATGCAATAAAAACTTGATTGATTTTTTTTCACAACTAATTTTATTTCAAAAAATACAAAATATATTTTAAAAATGCAATCTACATCTGGAATGTAGATATTAATCTGGTAACATTGTAATGTTAAAAAGATGACGCATTGTGGGTCTTCCATGTGGACAATTCTGAAAATAACAAAGTACCATTATGCATCATTTCCCATAGCAACACTGGGAGTTTTGTTTTGATAAGTACAAAGGCGGCTGTGAAAACCTGGCGAAATTTACACTTGATACAGGTTGTGTACTACAATTAAACCCCCTATAAACTACAGGGTACAATTAAAAACAGAACTATATATAGTACAGTACAGTCATAACTTAACTTTCAAGCTGACTATGAGCTGGCATTTCTTTTCACAAAAACCATACAAGTATCATTGCCATCAAAATGTTATACTTTTTTGTATTATCTACCCATGTTATTAATATGAGGCTTACTTACACACAATTTAGATATGTCAAATCTTGAAAGTAATCTAAGCTAGCTAAATTTTAAGTTATGTTTAAACACATACATGTAGGGATAATGAGTCAAGTGGTACAATTAAAAGCAGTCACAGTGATATTATGATTATTTGTCAGACCATTACCAACAACATTGTGCTTTTATGTCAACAAGTCAGTAGCCTAGAATATATGGACTTCAATAATCAATGTGCATGCATAAAAGCTGGCCAATCACAGTAAACTATGACTTGTAATACATTTGTGTGGCTAATGAGCAACCCGACAACTGTAACTATGTGGTTGTTAATAGAAAATGTATACATTCTAGCCTACAAAGTTGGAGAATTGCTTAATAAAATTACTTACCCAAGGTTGTTCAATTTCCCCCATGTGACAGATGAGCTAATTGAAAAAAAAAGATATAAATTAATCACTATTTGCAAGCACCCACTCATTGTTTCTATGTAAATGAGTAAATACCCACATTTGCCTCATTGGTTCTATGTAAATTAGTAAATACCCACATTTGCCTCAATGATTCTAAACCCACATTTGCCCCACTGGTTCTATGTAAATTCCCACATTTGCCTCATTGGTTCTATGTAAACAAGTAAATATACACATTTGCCTCATTGGGTCTATGTAAATGAGTAAATACCCACATTTGCCTCAATGATTCTAAACCCACATTTGCCCCATTGGTTCTATGTAAATTAGTAAATACCCACATTTGCCTCATTGGTTCTATGTAAATAAGTAAATACACACATTTGCCTCAATGATTCTAAACCCACATTTGCCCCATTGGTTCTATGTATTAAATGAAAGGTAATAACTGACTATAACCACCGCTATACTGTGCATTTAATTGGATGACTGATTCAGACAAACACATTCCACAAATGCTATTGCTGTCATGAGATGTGTTTCAACTTTAATAAACATTTTGTATTTAATATGTAAATTGTATTTAACTACATTTCCACAATCAATAAGGGAAGCAATTTATTTAGTACAAATCATTTGTAATTGTAACACCTACTCTTTATCTTATGGTCAGCATCTTCTACAAATAATGTTGGGATAAACAAATAAAAAGATTTGTTCCTGGTGCTCAGATGGTGCAGTGCAGAGTTGCATCTTTTTTGGGGTGGAGGGAACTATTTTTTTTTATTTTAGCAATATTTTGGGAGATGACTCTTGCCTGCTTATGCCATTTTCCCCAATTCATTTTGGCTGTACCGGTATGTGGAGGCTTTTAGCCAGCATTGTGTTGATTAAAATGCTGATCATAATAAGAGGTAGTGGGTTACCTTTTTCATTTCTGTTTTATTTAATGCTGTACCAACCATAATAGATTGACGACATGCTCTAGATGCAAACATCTGTCGGACTCTTGACGGCCTGCACATTGTACCCTGTAATATGATCAATAACTCTGATATGTATTGCATCTTTTGTGTCGTGAACTGAATGATTTTGTGTGTTGATCTGAGATACATTTACAATAAATTTAACTCTTTTTTTTTTAATACAACACAGGAGTTTGAAACTGGATAACACAAACTGTTCTAGAAGTTACCCAAAGCTAATAAATTATACATCCACAAAAGATTGGATGATCCCTTCACTATGCCCTCTAAGCAAATATGATTTGCTGTGACGCAACATGTTGTGCTAATTCACGGGTGTGGTATTGATGCAATTGATATAGATATAGTGACCTTGAAAAAAAATCTTAATATAGTTTTGTAATTTGTTAAAATGAAATTCACATTTTATAAAAAAAAACAAGTGTAAAAACAAAGGAAATGAGGGACCACATTTTTGTTTGTACCTCAAGTCACCAAAACAGTTGCATACAATTCTTTTTTGAAGACCTACTTCCCAACAGTCAACAAGCTGATAACTTTATTTTAGGAGGATTTCATATTGACACTGAATCCCTACAAAATCAGCCTTGTTAAAGGGCACACTCAATCTATTCATGTATAGGCAATAAGCAACTCTTATAAGGGAACTGATCATTACCACCCAGCCGGTTTCCTGTGAGTTTGACTCGGTTTACCGTACCGGTCGTTGCTTTACCGTACCGGTCATTGCTTTACCGTACCGACCGTTGCGCTACCGTACCGGCCGGGGCTTTACTGTACCGGCTGGACAATTACCGTACTGATAGGACCAATACCGACTATTTATCACCTTCGATTAATGAATGCATGGTAAACAAAGCCCCGGTAACTGATCGGCGCCCTGTCGGTAACCGTGAGTCATGCATGAATTAATTGGGCATTTTGCAAACAATAAGAATTTTTTTTTACGACTTGTACAACAGAGTGTTACGTCTCAGTCGACTAGAGGACTCGATGGTTTAATTATTTGTTTATATTTGTCAGTAGCTCACACAGTGGAAAGAAAGTCGGACAACCGTCGAAATACAAATAAATAAATTAAATAAACAAGTCATTGAAAATGACACAGTCCCCGTTAAGTTCTCTTTGTGCTCGTCATATTAAAGCGGAGGGGTTGTCGCGAGCATGTCCTTGAAACTTGAGTTCCAAGTGGCGTATACAACAGATTGTTTATTTACATCAAAACACTTGTTTCGTGTCATAGTAATATAGCCAAAATAAAAACAGCCGTTATTCAG